TCTCTCTCCATCCTGGTTTCTATTTCTCAAGAGGTGCAGATGCAGATATTTTCCACATTGGTGATTTTAAAAGTCTATACAGGGTCAGATAAACATGGCCTTTGGGTCAAATCTAGCCTACCACTTGCTTTTATAGATAGTTTTAAAATTAATTTGGTCAACTCCAGCCATGTCTATTATTGAATATATTGTCTGTGGTTGCTTTTGCACCATAGCGTCAGTGGTGTAACTGACAAAGATTATATTACTTAGCCTTTTATGAAAAAGTGTTTGGAAAAACAAAGCTTCCACAGTTCTCTGTAAGACCAGTAAGTGACACAGTGGGCAGCTACTGGAGTTTACGTCCAAAGAGCACTGCTTTTGCTCCCTCTGTTGTCTCCATGTACCTTTAAACAAGTCACATTTTGTTTCCACAACACAAGTTCTTCATTCCTGAAAATGAATAAGTGCACATCTAAGAAAGTAATTAGTAACAAAAATGAAAGTGATCTGTCAAACTTGAACTGCTACACAAATCTGCAGCAACAAATGCTGAGGTAATCGTGTCTACTACTTTCTCGCCCCTTCTGGTTGACAGCACTGTAGCAGGTCTAATCTCACTCCCCTTCCCAGGCTTGTTCTGGGCCTAGGCCAATGCTGTGGGTTTCTTTAGCTGGTAATAGACAATTTGTTCCCAATTTAGAGCCTTTAGAATAATTAATTTGGTTTTGGGATACAAGGAACATATGATTAAGTAATTATATTCCTTTCTTTCTGAAGGGTCATGGTTAAAAGGCAGTGCCTTCTAGCAAATGGCATTGAAGCTCCACTCTTGGGTGATAAAGGCCCTTTGCCAGTTGGCCTCATTAAGTCCTTGACATGAGCTCCCACGATTTGTTATTAAACTGTGTTCAGTCCTCAACAATTTTACATTTCTATCCCAGGGCTTTGGAGTCATACCTTCATGGCACCTCTCTGCTGGGTTTAGACTCTTTATTGTACAGAATTTCCTTGTGTCTAATCCCTCATTTACCACAATTACTGCCTTACAGAAAAATAATTCTATAATTGCCTTTTTCTTTTTCCCCATGAATCATTAAAATCCTGATCTCTTTCCTTATCACATACCAAGCTGAATAGGAAATTCAGCTCTTTCCACAAATGGATGGACTTTCTCTTTTATATACAGCACCTCTTTTCTGTCTTTTGGATCCTGCACTGGGGCTCTTGCATTAAAGCCTTATGGCTTCAGAGAACAACAAGCAGTAGAGCTAAGGCCTGGAGGCTCTCTATGAAGCCAGTGATGGTGGAAGACATGTGGGAACCCACAGGAGATGCAGAGCACACAGGCTTCACAAGCTCCACACGCAAAGAGTCTTCATGCTTCCCTGACGTGAGTTATTTCAAGCTTTGTTTTCTTTAGACTCTGGCAAGCAAAAAGTTTTATTCTGTGTATGATAATTACAAATTATGATTGAAACATCATAAACACTATTACATTTTACACTAAATGACAGACATTTGGTTCTGTTATACCAATGACTCTGGTAAGGATTAGTTACACAAGAAGTACTGAGAATAACTTTCAAATAGCTTATAAATATTACACTTTTGGCTATGAAAGATACTTTTTCCAATAGACATGCATACATTTTTCTTAAGAAGAAAACAACAACAAAAATGTGTTCTGCCAGATCTCCTCAACTTGTCTATGCTAACTCCTAAAGGTTGACTGCAGGCATGGGAGCATAGCTTGGTGGGAAAGCAACTAGTTGTCTAGCTTGTACAAGGTCTGTGCTTGATCCTAGCATCATAAAGAGGAAAAAGTGGACTTTTGTGTCATAAAAGGGATGTGCCAGGGCTCCATAGTCTCCAAAGGTTTGAGGAGTTTCACCTTAGAAGATGGCATGTAGCAAAGGGCACTGATCCAGTACAAAAATGGAGACCTAACCTTGACATATACACATCCCATCTATCATAGCTAAAGCTGTGGCTTTTGGCTAAAAAACTGAAGAGAGTAACTAATAAATCTACATGAAAAAAACAATGAAATGCACTTCTGTTTCGTCTTTCTTTTTGAGTCACCTGATATGGAAGGATACTTAGGAAATATTAGTTAATATCAATTTTACATAGCAATTCATCCAAAGATCATTAAAGCCACACAGTCCTGGATCACAATATAATGCTACTATTCATTAAAGATGACCTTGAACATCCGAAACTTGACTTCCCTGTGCCTCCGATTCACATAACCCAAATCAAGATCCTCATAGATAATTCATTGTGCTGCTATTAGGATTAAATGAGATATATTTACATATTCAAAATGGAGAAGTAGAGTTTTCAAAGGAAGTACATTATAGCCACAGCCACCACCATGAATGATCTTTCTATTATAATCTTGAATGAAAAAGGAAGTCCTAAAGTGTAGCCTACAGTATGGATGTCTCTGTAATGAAATAAAAAGCAACTAACATTAAGGAATTCAATTTAACTATAGGAAGCATTGTATAATGAATATTGACTTGAGATCCTGATGATTGCCTTAGTGGAGCAAGGCAGGGGACAGGGCAAGGACAGGAACCACAGGATTAAGTTTGCATTATTGGTTAATCTTCTTACCTTTTCTTTAGGATAGGAGATTCTCTGTTGTTATTATAGAACTTAACAATTGCTAAAGAGACGTGAGCATAAACACAGATAACTCAGTGGATAGTGACACTTGAAACTATTACAAAGATACATCTTTGAAGAAGAGAAAGTGGAACAAAGTATGGTCTCTGCTATACTGAAATAACAGTTCTCTGTTAGTTTTAGGTACTAAATAAATGCTGAGCTAGGTTAGTAGATGTAGAAGTGACCATGCCTTACTGGCTATAGCACGGCAGCACAACTTCTGTGAAAGACTAGAATTCTGGGTACTACTCAATGACCCAAAGTCCTCTTCCTTGTGTTGATCCCACTTCCTGCCCCCCCTTTCCTACCTCCTTCTTTCTCCTTTTCTTCTCATTCTCCCAACGTCTTCTTCCCACCATTTTTCTTTTTTATACTTTAAAACTTGTTACTTAGGCCTAGCTGAAAATTATATTTACAGGACATAAAGCTAGAGATCAAAGCTACTATCCTTTGAAAGCAACAACAAAAGTGATGGGTTTATGCTTCCCTCTATAAACATAGCATATGTTTTGTTTTAAAAACACTTTATTCTAAATGCATACTATAAACATAGCATATGTTTTGTTTTAAAAACACTTTATTTTAAATGCATACAATATATATATATATATATATATATATATGTATATATATATATCAATGTAGGTAGTCCGATACTACTTGTGATGATAACTTACTGTTGTCTCCATATTGGGGCTTACAGTGTCAAGAGATTTCTATTCTATATGAATGCACTCACTACATAAAGCAAAATAATACCTTACATACGTAACTGCAAAATAAATATTATTAGAAGCCCATTTTATATATACAGAGAGAGATCAAGGAATCATGGTATTATGTAAGAAACATGACCACCTGTCAAACAATTAATGGGACTGAAATGTGACCTAACTCCAAAGCTGGGGACACGAGTCAGTTCACTAAAGCTGCAATAAAGATACAATGGAAGTTAAAAAATATTTGCAGTACCTACCCCTGTAGTTGTCCAGATGATCTATAAGCTGCATGCTGTGTTCAAATGACACAGACACACATGCCTGAGTGCTCCTTCTCCCTGTAGTGTGCCTTGGTCATCTGGACTTCTCAATACAATAGCAGAAGATGAATTATTTGATTAAAATAATTTATATGGGTGACATATAGGTAGTTTACTGGAAAATGCCTTTGAGGGTGCCCTGTTTTATGTTACAGCAGAGAGCAAGATGAGGAAAAAATGCATGATGGCTATATAGATTGCTAGATGGCATCAGGTCAATAAAGCCTGGTCCTAGAAAGCTTTGAGAGAAATATTTTCTGGTTTCAGAAAGTTCTTTCTTTTATAGTTGTTCTTTTCTTCCTTTTTAAGATCTTCCATGCTATAAGGTATCTTGCCACTAATTCATTCCATAGCCAAAAAGCCTCAAACCACCAGCCCAAGACCAAAAATCACTGTTTTACTGGCAGGTTCAGGCAGTATGGGCTCTTCTGAGCAATGAGGTAAAACATTTGAATGTTAAATTGCATTCCATGGACCGGCAAGATAGTTAAGTGGGTAAAGGCACTTGCCACAAGCCTAATGACTAAGTTCAATCCCCAGAACATACATGGTAGAAGGAAAGAACCAACTGCCAGATGCTATCCTCTGACTTCCACATACATGCTATGGCAATGAGGGTTCATGGAAGTCTCACACACACACACACACACACACACACACACACACACACACACACACACAAATACTTTAAAAAGCTCTTTAAAACTTGGTCCAATTGATACCATATAAAGAACAAACAAACTTGGAGAATGCCTCTCCGTGGGACATAAACACAAAATAATATCAATCTTATTGGCCAAGAGTAAGCAACATTTTACAGTGGAATACACCTATGATATGGGATCTCTCTTATTTCTTTCCTCTGTGAATAACTAATTTTTTCATATGTAAAAATTATGTATTCTTTTGTTAGCACTAATGGATATCAATTAAATCATGACCTTTTACCATATCAATTTATGGTAGTACATTTTGTTAAGCTATTTATGGAACACTTAGATCTTTTAGAGTTCCCAGTAATCTTCCATGTTTGCTTGTCTGCTTTTAATTTATCAGTCCTTTTCTAACAGGCATTGCACAAACACACAGCCAGCACAGACTTCCTCTATACAGTGTGTATTCGATATGCTTGATGCTCCTCTTTGACACATAGAGAGGTTAGCATAAGAAGTGTGTAAACTCCAGGAAGCATTTAAGAGGCCAGCCATACACAGATGCATGAGCACAATACTTTATATACTTGATAAACATTTCATCTCTCTCATAAATAAAGCTTTTTGTCAACTTTGTTCTTTTTTATTACCTTAAAGTACTGGAGTTGTTTCTCAGTACTCATTCCTTCCTTCTCTTGTCTCAGACAGGAATTGAAGATGAGAAGCTCTGTATCTCTTAACCACCTTTTCAGTTCTTTGATCCTGACCTCCAGCTGCCTTACCAGGCTTCCGCTTTCAGGAGACAGCAGGTCACGTGGGCCCGACCCGCTGTGCCCTGCCATTGTGTCCTGTATCTTCTCTCTTAGGGTTTTCTAATGCATCAGATTAAAAAGGAAGAAAAACAAAACAAAACAAAAAATAGATTAACTGACATGCCAAAAACACAAGGCAGGAGATAACGTGAGCCTGCATAGTGATCCCTTCCTCCTCATGACTGATATTTGGCTCTAAGTAGCTTGATGGCACCTCTGGGGCTTGCTTTTTTAGTGCGCATCCCCACTACCAGTGGAAGGAGATAACGTGAGCCTGCATAGTGATCCCTTCCTCCTCATGACTGATAGTTGGCTCTAAGTAGCTTGATGGCACCTCTGGGGCTTGCTTTTTTAGTGCATATCCCCACTACCAGTGGGTGCACAAGCAAAACTTCATTCTTTAGACTTGGCTTTCACAGAAAAGAGCTTTGGTCCAAGTTACCATAATCACGGACAAAAATTCATCTCAGTTCTCATGGCAAAAATGTTACAGTGAAGAGTTGTCTACATAAAGTGTTGAAGAGAGATAGAGGCCTGAATTTAATCAGTGTACAGAGGCCAATAGTACAGAGAATAAAATTCCTGGTTTTCTTCTGTGAAGTATAATTCCCTAAATAATATGAAGGAGCACTCTTAAGAGATATTCTGTGGTTTGACTGTCATCGGTTTCATACGTCTTGGGGTTCTTCAACCCCATGGTTCTTCCTGCTTTTCCTTTCAGATTCAGATAATTTAATAGATATGTTAAAACAATCCCTGGTTCACTGTGCGAGATGAGCCTACTTAGACTGAGCACTATGATATAGAGGAATTTTTGAGCTGGTTTTCTTTTCTTTCTCTTTGGTAGAAGCACTCTCTTTCCAGAATCAATAAGATTTAATCTAAAATGATAAATTAAATCTAGAAAAATTTGCTCTAAAACACAAAGAAAATTAAGTCAACAAACATTCATCTGCTCCATGGTATTCTGTAACTAGTATCTTTAGGAGATCATGACAGAAAAATAGCCTTTTGTGGTAACACCCTTACATTTTCATGGTGCAAATATTGATAATTTGAAGACCCTCAGTGGAATCCAGATTTAGCTATTGTTTTTATGCTGTAACAAAAGTAACAGCAGGAGGTGAAATCAATGCCCTTGGAGGCTAGGGTCACAAAAAGGAATTTATTGCCACTTTTTTTGTTCTGGAACAGTTTGCAATCATAAATTCTTTATAAACAGAATACTTCAGAGAATGGTCCGTCTTCATAAATATACGACAGAGGACATCAATTTCATTTAATTCACAATTTGTGTCAGCACAGCAGATGCCAATGCCTGCCTTGATAGGGTTGTTTAATATGCAATTGAGACAGAGTAATATGTAGCACAGGGGACAAAATTTCACAGATTAAACTGTACGCACCACTGACATTTCATTCTAATGTATTTTCATTCCACACTGTTCACCTTAGATGAAAGAAATATTAAAAACCATATCCCTCTATTTTACTATTGTTAGAAGTTAAAATCCTTGTCTTTAATTTTTTTCCATGCCAATTAAAATGTAATCATGCCAATTAAAGCAGTGTGCCTACTGTGTCAGTGTGACTTCAGCTTTATTAAACTCAGCTCTCCATCCTACTCTCCCCAAATTACTGCAAAACTGTACGGTATTTGAGTGATATATTGTCAAAATGGCAACTATTTGAATGACATCTGACTCATAGAGACTAATTAAATACTGTGTCTTCAATGCAATAACAATTTAAATTTTTTTGTGAAGAATTGATATTCATGACATACTTTAAACAGTTTTCTAAGGGAATACTGTTATTTATCAAATTAGGAAAGATACATTTAAATGCACCGTCAACTGTTTATCACTTTATCTCTAAAGCCAATAAAGTTGCTATTCTTCTCTATTTTGTAAACAACCTTTGAAAATATCATACAGCAATCACATTTCTCCCGAGAGCAATGCATGTTGTAGAATTTAGTAGGTCCTGATTTAAACCTCCATATTTTAAAGCAATTACATTAATTATCATTAAAAGGCAAGGCCATAATAAGTAAGAGTAAGAATTTTTAAGATTTTTAAGTTACTTTGAACAACTGCAGAGTGTAGAGAATTTAGATGAGAAACAAGGACTTACATGTTCAGGCTTTTAATCACTTAGATTAAGCATGGCATAAACGGAACACTGGCATGTCTCCAAGTCATCACAGTACATGGAGAGCTCCTAATTCAAAATATTTCTAGAGTATTATTTCTTTTAAAAAAATTTTAAAGAGGCAGGAAAATAGAGGGCTTGAAAAATTGTGTTCTGTAACTGACACCACCCATAGTAGCTATTATAACTAATCATTTAGGTAATTGACAAATTTAGCTTATCCTTGATTTGAAGTGAAGGCAATTTAGGATAGGAGCTGATAAAGAACTACAGGCTAACTTCTCCATCAGCTGTCACCCAACACTAGGACAGTGCTGCCCCCTGAATGATGCCATCCAGGCCTCTGGGTAATAGAATGTCTATATTGCCCCTTGCCAGCTTCTTGTATCTCTTTGACTGGGAACTACATGAAACTTTTTTTGGCTTTTGTTAAAAGTGGTCTGCAAATTGAGGCACTAAAAGGAGACTGATTTAATTCTGGCATTGAGATTTGGGTCAAATTTGCATATCTGATTTGGTAGCTTTAGTATGACCTGAAAGTAACAGTGGCAACTCCACTCCTCACTTTTAAGGATACACTGAATAGTTAAACAGTGGATGTCTCTAACATGTACTTTCAGAACAAATTCTATTAACATTCATCCAAGCATGACAGTCAGTGTATATCAGATATACTGTATTAGAGTTGACTTGGTGCATACCCTTAATACATGGCATATTTTACTTACTTTTTTATGTATTAAAGAACCAAAATTATTAAAATCTGAGAGGAGACAGCTCAGAATAAATTTAAGAAAAAAAAAAAAAAAAACAGAAGAGGAAAAGCAATGTTTTCCCCATAATAACATGAGTAGCTTATTTGAAATGTAAGGAGTGAATTGAAAGAGAGAGATATTTGTGCCTCAAATTAGAAATCAGACAGATAGAGTACTTCACCACACAAAAAATGTACACATAACCTACAAACAGTAATAAAAATGCAAATACCCCAAGCAGTTCCCATTTTTCATTAATTGAATCCACTTTTTCCAGGAGATCGTTTGGTAGTGAAACGCCACCTTTCCTCAGTGCTTCAACATTGCTAAGCAGCTCTGTCTTTTTTAGGTGCCTGATGGACATCTCCACACTGTACCGCTGAAACGACAAGGCAAGGGTAAGTTATTAGGGGACAGAGGGGTTCTTAGGAACATCTTTGAGCAGTGTTTGTACTACTTACTGGGATATAAGGTCTGATGGACATCTCCACACTGTACCGCTGAAACGACAAGGCAAGGGTAAGTCATTAGGGGACAGAGGGGTTCTTAGCAACATCTTTGAGCAGTGTTTGTACTACTTACTGGGATATAAGGTCTTTTTTTTTTCCCAGTGAAATTTACTGGGAGGCTAAACCTCATCACCTTGGGTACCACACTAATGCAAAACACTTGGGACAGTTGCCACATGTGCCCACTCAGACACTTCTTGTTGTGCTGCTGGCTTCAAAGATTTTTGTCTGTTTTTCTCTTTCTTTCTTCCTTCCTTTCCATCTTTCTTTTTTTTTTCTTTATCTTTCTGCTTCTTTCTTTTCTTTTTTTGGTTTTTCGAGACAGGGTTTCTCTGTGTAGCCCTAGCTGTCCTGGAACTAACTCTTGTAGATCACACTGGCCTCAAACCCACAGAGATCCACCTGCCTCTGCCTCCCGAGTGCTGGGATTAAAGATTTTTGTCTTTTTAAACTAATTTTTCGTACACATTTTATGTTTTTAACCTAAAATATAGTAAATAAGAGAATGCCTGGCCTGGAAGGGCTTACTGTTTCAGTTAATTTGGGTCATCATTTGCCTCTAGAGCCACCCCTCCCATCTGTACTCCCAGGAGATTCTCTTGGAGAAGTTCAATGTATTTTTTTTTTCTTCCATGAAACATGTATCAATCACTTGCCAGGGAGGTGACCCTTTCTTTTTTAAAGAGAAGAGCTTTTCAAATGAAGGTGATTGATAGAGGGAAATGTTTGTGCCACAAATAATACATATATTTGGTTGAGAGTTATGAAAGTTAAGAAAATGTGATTAGTCTCCAATACATTTAGACTTTAGGACAAAAAAAAGCTAATAAAATTATCTTTGAAAGAAAAACATTATTCATAAGGATTATGTGTCTCAATTAATATTTTGGTTTTTTTTTCTTTACTTAAAAGCTATGTGAGAGCTAAAGAGAAAAAAATACATATAAAGATGGAGAAAGCACACTTGTTGCTTGGGATAGCTATAGATCTACAATTACTTATTGATTAGCACAAGCTGCCCTGAACTTCTCAGCTGACTACTGAAGCTTCCTGGCCCCACTGATATGCTCTATAGTCTAACAAACTGCCTAGTGAGTCTCTTTAGAGATGTTTCCTGGAGACAATGAAATAGTTCCTTGATAAAACATTTTTATGGTGGCATTCTTCAAATACCTGTATTTGGAAAAGTTTATACAGGATGTTTCCTGGAGACAATGAAATAGTTCCTTGATAAAACATTTTTATGGCGGCATTCTTCAAATACCTGTATTTGGAAAAGTTCATACAGAAGTCTTGTGAACAGCTGACATAACTATCATATTTATGTGCGCATCAAAATATACTTGCATACAAAATTATATTATGGAGAAAGTATTAAATGTATTTATAATTTAATGCACATTTCCAAAGATGTCTTTCTTCAAAACAACAAAATCAGGTGAGTGAGGCCCATGGTAGCATTGCTCCTTTGCCCTAGTGAGCATGACTGCCCCAAGGTAAACACTATTAATTAGATCTAAGGAGGAAAACCTTTGTGTGTGGGCAAAGTATTGCCAGTCTTCAGGTTCCTAATATCCCCAAACGCTTGGATAAGTTTTAGTCCCCTTGAAAAATACCTTATATAAAACTCTAAACTAAATTAGAATTGGGATTGGCTCAAAAGGAAAGATGGCATGAGAGCTCTGTTTCAGGTACCAGGTCTTCAGCATTTGTGTGCGTATGTCTGCACACTTTCAGTTTCATACTTTAATCTTCCATTCACACTAAGCATGCACATCGTTTGTATTGTGTAAACTTCTCCACATGTTAGGAATTTGTGGATCACAGAACAAAATATTTTAAACGAGGTGATTTAAAGCATTTATATTATTAACAAACATTGATCAGGGTGTCAGAGTATCCAAAATTGCATGAATATGCATATTTAAGAAAATCAAGGGTTGCTTTAGAGCTCTTTCAGAATTGGAGCTGTGAAACATGGGCAATTCTGATTACATTCCTAACTGCAGACAATGACCACGATCATGTTACTCCATTACAGAAAACACACTGTCCACTTAGGTTTTCTCAACTCAATACTCAACAAGTATTGTAGAAACCCAGATAGTATATTATTTGTCAGAGTGATGACTGGAAGAGAGGCAAGCTGCTTTATGCAATCAGATTCCCATGTAAGATTTACATAACTAATTAGGTAAGACTGACATAATGTGTGTGGGGGGGTGCGTATTTCAGACACCAAGAGGACTATTATTCAAATCTTTCCTTATGTCATGTGTATTAATCAACAGAGAGAGTCCTATAGTTGTGCCTTCTGGGAGTGGCTTCTGCTGGCTATTGGCTTTTCTTGTGGAAACTCAGCCTCTCTCTTTCCCAACTTTAAATGTCTCCTCCATCATGTGTTAGTAAAAAAGGAGGATAGTTTAGATTATCTCATGAAAACGATAGCCTTGCAATAATGAAAATACAAAAAGCAATTAATTTGATTTTAGACAATGAAATAATTTTTTCTATGAAATGTTGTATGGGTATTTATGGCAATAGCTACTAAGATGGTTATTAGATTTAAAAAAAGCCTTGCTATTATATATGCTCTCTCTATTACTACATAAACAGCCCGATGAAAGATGTAATTGATGGGCAATGCCTTCAAACAATAAAAGCTAAGAGGACCTGGTTAATTGTTAGATATATTGATATGTGAATAGAGAGTACTAGAGTGTCCTGTAATTTAAGGTGAAAGTATTTGAGTTCTGAGATGCTGTGAAAGTTGAATCTAAAATGATTTAGGGCCCCAAGGCTGTGTGTAAAATGATGCCAGGAAGGTTGCATTTTTGTTGACTCTACTATGCATTTGCTCTTCTCTATCTAGCATCCTTTTAGAAGCATTGGATTGGGAGAATCAACCATCAGATCTATCTACTCTTGGTCTCCTATCAAGTGGGCTGCTCTATCCTGTGCTGAGAAGATAATTTAATCTTCATATTCATTTCACTCACAGCAGTAAATGAGCAGAAGCTGCCCCATTATGTTCCATAGACTGGGGATGTTATCATACAGACCAGTTTTCAATAGCCAAAAAATGAGATTAGCAAAGTTAAAGTCAGCTGGCTTTTCTTGAGTGCTAAGGTAAATAAGCATCCAGTATTTAACTTCCCACAGCACCTGCTGTGGGCCTCGCTGTCTAGTCAAAAATAAAATATACTCCATTCAAAGAGCATATTTACATTATTAAGTGTATTTGCTTGGCCAATTCAATTTGGTCTAATGAATCCTCTTAATAGATTTGTGACTGATCTAAATTAAAGACACAGGCTACTAGTGTCCAAAAAAGCTATTTCTTTGGGTATAAGGAAAAGTTAAAGGAAACAGAGTTAATAGTAGCCCATTGTCTTAACTAAGAATTAAAATTGAAACTCTAATTTATAGCTTATATTTTAAAAGCACAAATGCTAAAACTAAATTATAAAACAAAGCCTGTTAAATCAGGGATTTATGAAATAAATGCATTTAATAACAAATACAGACTTGATTGAGATAACTTTTTTTTGACACTCATGCCAGGCTTTTCTCCCTTCCCTAAAACTTTCTCCCTTTCCTTTCTTCTTCTTTTTTCTTTTTCTATCCTTTTCTTTTCTTTTCTTTCTTTTTTTTTTTTTTTGTTAAAAATCACACCGAAAATTCTGCCCAAATGGAGAGTGGAACAATGCCTTGAAACAGTGTTAATTGTCACCATGGAAACCAGAAGAATAAGCCATTTTGAAACTGGTATAGAAGGCACACATTGAGAAACTCAAGCATTTTTCTGCCTCCCTCAATGTTAAAGAACAAGATGCCTTGTCACGGTGAGGTCAGAGAAAGAAAGCATCATGAAAGGGTTGTAGATACTCCATGTCTAGTAAATAAAATAAAATTAAAGTAAAGTAAACCAGATACAGCTAATGCTGTAAAAGACTCTACCCAGTGAATCTTTTTGAAATAGAAAGATCGCCAAAAGATGGCCAGGACTGGGGGATGGCTCCCACCTAGCAAAACTTCAGGGCTACATTATGTGAACCTTGCCCCCAAAGCTCCCTGGGAATTCTGCTGTTGTAATAAAACTTCAGAAGAGGGGAGAAAAAAGGCAGCATGATGGAATTCAAAATAATGCTCTAAAAGCACACAGAGAGATTAAGACATTCATTGTAAGACTTTTGTATGGTGCTTCTGGTGGCCATGCTGAAAAGAGACCAGACATTGCTAAATGGAGAGCGAAGCTTTGGCTCCAAGAAACACAAGATTTAAAGCAAACAATTTTCTGATTAAAGAATATGGCTGTCCAATTCTGAGTCAGAAGGGTTTGAGTAACAATTTTCTGATTAAAGAATATGGCTGTCCAATTCTGAGTCAGAAGGGGGAGAGAATTTATATCATGTAATATGTTGTTTTTAACTGAGCATCAGGTGACTTCATGTTAAGAAGAGTTAAAGCAAGGACAATTATCTAGTTATAATAATGATACATTTGAATCTTTGCCCAAGCAAATTAGTGTCTCAAACACCTGTATTACTTGTCATGATTATCTCCCCCGCCCCACAACAAACAGAAAATAAAAACACAAGGTGAAGACATAATATATCTTAGTCTATCAGTAAGAAAGTTTATCGAAGGAACAAGGAACACATCCAACCCAAACGACCACAAAATAATATGTAAAAACATGTATTTTGCACACAAATGCAAGGACATGTCTGTGACTCTCACACTGTATTCTCTAGCTAGTGTTTGCCCTCCTCATTTGAGACTTCATGGTGGCCCCTCAGCTAGTCCATGCCTAATGCTATTCACTGGTGAACAAAGAATCTTTTTATAGGAAAGTCCAGGTCCACAG